AGGCTGTCACCTCTCCCTTCAGCTGAGGGGTATCTAAAACAAATTTGTAAAGAACCCTTCTGTATCAGAGGTAGTTTTATGCCTGCATTATGAGTCATAGAAAACATTTGGTCAAAGACTCCATAAAGGGGCCAGAAGAGATACACTAGAGCTCAGAGTTGGAACCAATTATTTTTTCAAGCAAATTGACCATAGTAGCAAAAGTATCAACCAAATTTTAGAATGGCCTGTTCAGCCATTTAACATCAAAGCATGCAGTAGCCTGTGCAGACAACATCTTTTAGACAACCTTGAATTTGGCTTGAGCACCACGGATGCATTTTAAAAAGCGAAAAGTGTAGTGAGCTGAATGGTGACTCCCCAAAGGTATGTTCATGTCCTAATTCCCAGAACCTATGATGTTACCTGATTTAGAAAAAGGGTTTTCACAAATGTAATGAAGTTAAGGATCTTGAGATGAAGAGGTTATCATGGCTAAACCGGGTGGGCCTAAACGCCACCACAAGTGTCCTTATAAGAGATGCAGAAGTAGATTCGGGGCAAGGTGCTCTGAAGACAGAGCTGAGAGTGATTTGGCCACAAGCCAGGGACTGATGAGTCAAAAGAAACTGGAAGAGGCAAGGAACAGATTTTTCCCTAGAGCAGCGGTTCTCAACCTGTGGGTCACGACCCCTTTGGCGATTGAACGACCCTTTCACAGGGGTCGCCTAAGACCCTCCTACATATCAGATATTTACATTACGATTCATAACAGTAGCAACATTACAATTATGAAGTAGCAACGAAAATAATTTTATGGATGTGTCACAACATGAAGAACTGTATTTAAAGGGCCAGAAGGTTGAGAACCACTGCCCTAGAGCTTTCAGAGGGAGTACAGCCCTGCTGACACCTCAATTTAGGACTTCTGGCCTACGAAACAGCTGTTGATTTAAGCGACCACATTTGCAGTAATCTGTTACAGCAGCCACAGGAACTTAATACATATTTTGGTACCAGGAAGTAAGGTTCTGCTATATATCAAATAACTAAAAATGTGGAAGTGGCTTTGGAATTGGATAATGGGTAGAAGCTGGAAAAAATGTTATGCATCTGATAGAAAAAGCATAGATTGACTTAAGCAGGCTATTGGTAAAAATATAAATTAAAGGTGCTTCTGATAAGGGCTCAGAAGGAACTGAGGAACATTTTATTAGAAACTAGAAGAAATGCGATCCGTTATATAGCAGCATAAGTCTTATCTGAATTGTCTCCAACAGTTGCATGGAAAGTAGAATTTGTAAGTGATGAACTAGGATATTTAACAGATTTTCAAGCAAAGCATTAGAGGTATGGCCTAGTTTCTTCTTAAGCTTATATTAAAATATAAGAGGAAAGAGAGAAATTGAGGAAAGACCTATTAAACAGAAAGGAGCCAGCACTTGATGATTCAGAACATTTTGAGCCTATTCAGGTTGTAAAATATGCTCAAACTAGGAGACTCGCTTTAGGAGGTGTGCTCTGGAGAGAAGCTAAGGATATGGCTGGACAACCTTTGCTACTGCTGGAAAGATTAGGTATTGACTCATGGATCCACTCAACCATCTCAATTGAAGCCAGGAATGGAGATGGGGTTCTCTGGCAAAGATCTCTGAGGACTCTCTTGTCTCAGTATTGAGTCAGTATGACATACATGGGAGGCCCACAGAGTTTTTGAGAATGTTATACCAGCAGAAATACTTCTAGGTTGGCCTTAAAGGGACAGAGATGGGACAAGATGAGAGAAGGTTTTCAGACTACTAAAAATTTACAGTCAACAAACAAGCTGATAAAACTACAATGTAAAGGATCCTTCAATGTAAAGGATCACCCATTAGGACTACAGGTACGAGGGCTCAAACATGGGAGCAGAAGCAGAAGTGAAAGCCATGGGCAGAGTGGGCAGAGATGCAGGCCTAACAGGTAGAGCCCTGAGACAAGGAGGATTATTGTCAGGCCTTGAAACCTAAGGGGATTTTGCTGCCTGAATTTTGAAAATCAACCGGACAGCCCTAGCTGGTTTGGCTCGGTGGGTAGAGCATTGGCCTGGGGACTGAAGGCTCCCAGGTTCGATTCTGGTCAAGGGCACATGCCCAGGTTTGGGGCTCGGTCCCCAGTGGAAGAAAGAAAATCATCAGGACAGATGACGCCTTCCTACTTCCCATTTTCTACCTTTGGGAATAGGAATGCCCATAATCATTATCAGATGCCTGTCCCACCATTGTATTTTGGAAGCAGATAATTTGTTTTCTTATTGTATTGATCCACAGATGGAGATGAATTTTGCTTCAGGCATTTTCTATACCTAATTTAGATCATCTAAATGGTGAGATTTGGAACTCTTGAACTGATGATGTTTGAATGAAATTTTAGACTTAGACTTGATGCTGTAATGTGTTGACAAGGTTGAGATGGAGTGAAGATTTCATGCACATGGGACAGAGCTAAATTTGGGGAGGGGAGCAGAGGCAACTATTGTGGGCTAAGGGTTGCCTCCAAAAAAGAGATATTCATAACCTAATCCCAGAATCTGTGAATTAGCTACCTTATTTGGAAAAAAGGTCCTACAAGTATAATTAAGTTTAGGGTCTTCAGATGAATTATCCTGGATTATCTGAATGGGCCCTAAATGCCAACCTAAATGTGTCCTTAAGAGAGGCAGAGGGAGATTAGGTACACAGAGGAGAAGGTGATGTGAAAATGGAGCAGAGATGTGGCGGTAAACCAAGGAAAGCTGACAGCCACCAGAAGCAGGGAGAGGCAAGGACAGATTTTCCTTTAGAGCCTCTGGAGGGAGCATGGCCCTTGGTTTTAGACATCTGGGCAGCAGAATCTTGAGAGAATAAATTTCTGATGGGTTAAGAAGCAACTGAGTTTGTGATACTGTGTTATAGCAGCCAAAGGAAACTAATACAACTAGTAAACATTTTAAGGGCTTTGTAATTTTTTAAAACATTCTGAAGAAAATCTTCATAAACTGGTGCTTCTCACATGTGGTAGTAATAAATCCAACAAGAGACTTCAGTATAATCTGATTCCATACTAAAAATGTCATGATGTACTTTTTTGGTGATAGGTTTCTATCTAACCCCAGACTGCAAATAGCTAGAGCAGGATCATTATAAATCTGGGAAGCAATTCCCTGAACTCAATTATTGGAACTTCATGAAAGACCCTGAAAAGGCTTCATAATATTTGTGAAAAGCAGGTGGGATTACTCTAAATACAAATATATACTTTATCGATAATAGTTCTTTTTTTTTCATAAACTATAAAATAAGGCAAGTTCACATCTGGAAAAGGTGATATACATCAGTATTTCTACCTTGACCAGCTTGGTAATATGGCATGGCAAATGCCCCTACACATTAGTCAGGGTTAATTTTTCAAAATATTTCCCCAGGCCTAAAAAGCTATCAAAGGATTCAAAGAAGCCATACCATGAAGATTTCAGAAATGACTTGTTGAAGTCAAAAATACACACGTTAAGTATTTACATAAATTAGTAGAACCAATATCTTTGTTGTTTAAAAAATTATGTGAAATTAGTATATCCTTTAAATTTGTGTATGTGTGTGCCTATGTGAGTGTCTTAAGAGGAGATAAAACTGTAACATCTCAGATACTGTAATTCTTGTTGATTTCTCTATCGTAGCAGCTTCAGAGCTTTGTAAAGTATGACACCCAAGTAAGAATGCACTGGAGGGAAAGGCAGCACTGAATCATCACACATCTGCAGAAAGGAAGCTGGCCACTAGTTGTCTTTATCTCCTGTGGTGACTTGCCAAGTCAGTCCTTTGTTCTTTCTGAATGTCTACAGTGTGCTTTGGAGGAGAAATAGAATTCTCTATGTAAGATATATACACATAAGAAATCTTTTACAATAATCATCTGCATGGATTACTCTTAAAATTGCACTCCAGAGAAGTTATACCACATTACTTCAATGCATACTTTAAAATAATAGACAATTGAAATATAATCGTTACTCTCTCATCGATTTTAGAAAAATGTAGAGCCTATTTTCCTCCTAGAGCTGTTTATGGCGGCAGCATTTAAATTTGTTAATATAGGTAAGTAAGTATGATGACTGAGAAGTTCACTTAGTCACTGGGATGTGGAATTACTGTAGCAAGAGATATAAATATATCCACATATATACACATACATACATAAATTGGTTTTTCTTCCTCAGACCACCGAGGCAGAATTGGAAAGGGGAGTAGAAAGGCAGATAAAACAATTGACCTTTCAGTTTTCTGCTGCCTCTTGCAGAGAGAAATCTTTTTCCTCTCAGGTCTCTGAGAATTCTATTCCCTGCTTTCAAGGGGGTCATGGGAGAAAGAAGAGTAGAGAGAAGAAATAAACCAGAGAGATTAGGAATCAATATTTACCTTTAAAAATCTAAATAAAGGTAATAGAATTTTTAGGTTCATCCCTCACATAAACATTAAAATGTAAAGTTTTTCTCAAAAATAGCCATATAAAGTATTTATATAAAGTTGATATATGTGCATAATTAGAAAACACTACTTTAAATAAAATTTAAATCACTTTGCTGCTGTTGAACTTTGGTTTATTTTTAGCAATGAAAAGTGCCCGCACTATCATGCTGAAACTTTAGTTTAATGATCAGTTTAATTTCAGCCAAAGCAGATGAATCCATCAGCTTTCACTTGAGATAAGATTCTAACTAATTAGACAGGGGCGAAGCAGTACTTTTGCTGAGATTCCAAAATGGTGTCTCTTACTGCCTCTCCATATTACTAACACGTACTTTTTCATTGGCCTTTTCCTTTTCTATGTAACAAGAATCAGAAGCAGATATTGAGTCATTCTTTTTTTCTACCCCTTTTCTTCTCTTTCTTCTTTTTTTTGGGGGGAGGGGGTGTGGGGGAGGTGACCTGCAAACTTGAGTAACATTGTACGTTTCTGACAGACTGAATGATTTGAAAGCCTTAGAGCTCTTCAATTTCTTACACTTTTCACCATCACTGTTAGGTCACACACAATAACAAATAATATACATCTTTACACTAAAATGGAACACACATTTTAGAATCCCAATAATTGTGTTCTATTAGTATAATTGTGGGAGGAGTCTTGCAATAGCTTTACAAATGCAGGCTGTTTCATCCGGCTTGGCTCGATCTTTGCAGAAATGCACTGATTCTTCTCCATCCCTTGAGTGCATGTTTTGTTCTCAAAATGAATGATTTTATTTACTGAAATATTTTTATATTCTTTGGCATCAGGACTCACTTAGCGGAGATACCTCCATTGTGGCGAGAGCGTGACCTTTCCAAAGGTACCCGTCTGTTATCTGTAAGACAAAGAGAAAAAGAACCAAAAACATGGTGAGCTTCAGATCTCAGCTATTACAGGATGTCAGGTTGAGAGAGGGTTTCAAATAGTCCTAAAAAATCACGTCAAATGAATCCTATATAATAAAAGCGTAATAAAATATAATAAAAGCGTAATAAAATATAATAAAAGTGACTGGAACAACTGTTAGACCAAAACCACCATGGCCCCTTGCCGGGCTGGCCCTGCCCCCAAGCATGTGGTTAGGGGTGATCAGGCAGGCAGACAGAGTGGTTAGGGGTGATAAGGTGGGCAGGCCAGCGGTTAGGGGTGATCAGGTGGGCAGGCCAGCAGTTAGGGGTGATCAGGTGGGAAGGCCAGTGGTTGGGGTGATCAGATAGGCAGACTCCCCCTTGCAGGGCTGGCCCCGCCCCACAGCAATGAAAGAGGGAGGTCCAGGCCACCAGTGGCTACTCTGTGGCAGGTGTACAGTGGCCAGCGATCGCCCCACAGAGGGAGGCACAAGCCAGCCAAGTTATCGCACCCCACCCCTGTTGCCTGCAGAGGGAGGCCACCAATGGCAGGGGAGGAGGGGGCTGTGCTGCACAGATGGCAAGTAGCGGCAGTGGCGGGGTGGGACTAGCTGTCTGCAGCCGGGGGAAGGAAAGCCCCAATAGGCCCTGATCTCAGGCCAGGCCTAGGGACCAGACCCGAGGGGTCCCAGACTGTAAGAGGGTGCAGGCTGGGCTGAGGCCCACCTCCCCCAGTGCACAAATTTTCATGCACCGGGCCTCTATTATGTAAATAAGTAACATGGAGCCCGGATCTGAGGAGTCATGCAGCAGCTGCCGGGCTGAGTTCAAGAGTTCTGCAATCAGCACTAAGTGACTTTTCTTGGTTAAGTGAAGTCAGAGTGGTACAAGAAATGGAAGAATTTTCTCAAGCACAATCCCCTTGGAAGTGGCAGGCGACAACAGAATTTCTTGGTCAACACATTAAATTGAAAGGCTCTATGTACAGGGCCTTTTGTTGGAAAGCACTTCAATTCCCCGTGAGTTTTCACTCTGTGTACTGGCTACCACTACAGGACAGCAGCATGGGCAGAGCAGGAAAGAGTTTTGATTTTTTGCAATGATTGCAGCTACTGAATATTTGCCTGATTGTATGATGTAAACAAGTTCAATACATTATATAGTCATAGTGAGAATGAATAATGAATAGGCCCCATTCCCTTCAACCGTCATAAGAAAAATAATCACTGTCGAGATAACTGTTGGCACAAAGCTTGAAAAGCAAAGTTTTAAAGTATTGAAAGTTTCTGAAAATAGTTTTAGCTTTAATAGGAAAAAGGTTTACAGCTCTGCACTAAGATGATCAGTACTATGTTATTATCACCTCTGTTTTATGCTCGGCTTAAATGCAATTGATGTGGGTGCAAATCCTTCTGACAGAGGAATAATATACTTAAATTCTCTATTTAGAATGAGACTAGGTCCCTACAAATAATGACAACCACCAGCACTTACATAAACGCTAACACTTCACACTCGTTAATTTGCTAATGCACACAACAGCCCCGGGAGGTAAGCCCATTTCATTCTGTCCTATTATCTCTGCTTTACTGATGAAGGTTACACAGCAAATCAATGGTATGATGGGGGATCATAATGCAAAGTTAATGCCTAAATGTCAGGCCTGCTTTGTTCAGAGGTAAATGTTGGGGCCTCCCAAGCTACTCCCCTCCTCTCACCCTGCCTTAAGATGATATGAAAGAAAGACATCCTGTCCATCCCAGGAGAAGGATGGACTGTGAGAAGTGCTGAAATGTTGCTATGGTATCAGTTTCATCTGTTCCAGTGTCTCTTGTCGGACTCCCAGTAGTCTGTGGTCAGTACAGAGCAAAGAAAGCTCACTGGCCTCCATGACCTTGGCCTCATTAACACCCTGGTATGAGTGCATCGAACCAAACAACTATAAGCTTAAAGTGCCTTATATGCAATAATATCACCGAGAGGTGAGAAAGAAAGGGGCATTTTCTCCTTTCAGAGATATATCGGAGTGATGGATTATTTGGGCATCCTTTTAAAGATACTATTTAAAAAATCCAATATTTAGTTTGTGATATGGATCACAATTCAGCTAAAAATGTGAAGATAACATTCCTAGATAAAGAGCTTATTACTGAGATGTCACTGCTTTGCATACAGATTGGTTTGAGATGTCTTAGAAAACATTTAAAAGTGAGATTATAATATAACAGTTACCATTCCATTGCTAGCATGTAAGCTTTTAATGCCATCAGATATGAGAATGATGGTACCAATCACAGAGGACTGTCCCAGCTCAAAAAGAGGCTTGCTCCTTAGCAATCTTACACACTAAAGCCAAACTGGCATTCACTTTAGGAATGCCACTGGCACCCCATAACATCACTCACTGCCCCCTGGATTCAAGAGAAGTACCACATGCAAAAACCCAGCCTCATGGCATTAAATGATGTGAGGATTCATGTCAACCCGCAACTTATAGGTAGCATTTGGTGTGAGAAAAGAAACGTTCAGGTCAAAATGAATGGAGAAAAGGACATTGAAGCTTTTGGAAGGCAAGATAAACACTGGTCCATGGTCCAAATCTAGCTCTTGGCATGCACAAGAGAAGTACCTATTCTACATTTCCTCCCTTCTTTCCTCCCTCCCTTTCTTCCGCCTTCTCTCTTTATCTTTTTTAATTTTTTGGTACCTAATTAGTCATCTATGTTCATGAGATAATTATAAAGAAGCAGCAATTCTGTAAAGGTCACCACGTATGATTTTAAAATATCAACCTACAACCTTGTTTATGAAAAAATGTCATTAGAAACAATGACAGCAATGACTGATCTGGATTTTGCGATTTATTTACAATCCTCTGTATTTATGTTAATACTATTTAGGTAAAAATATATATATTTATACTCTAGAGTTGTATGGATCAGGCCACAGTGTGATTTAAGGGATAATATGCTATATGTATATATAACATGAATATATGTTCATCTCTCTTTGCATTCTAATAGCTTGTAATCTAATGATGACAATATTTCTCACATGGATTCATACCTTCTTTAAAGCAGAGATTGTGAATTACTACATTTTTTGAAAGGCAAACTTCTATATTTATAGTATTAAATACTAATGAATAAAAATCAGTGGCCTGAGCCTCATAAGATCAGGGCACATCTTTGGCATCACATTTATGAGAAAGGAGCAAATGTTCAATATTATTGCATTTCCCTTTTGGAAACATAGATGGAAGCAGCAGGTGTGCATGTGATATAACTGGAGAGCTCCAGGAGACCTAGATGGAACCAAACCCACTTACCTTGCTGATCTTATTCTCCCCACACTGCTGATACTAGAGGGGTTTACATGGTGAAAACAGAGCCTCTCCTCCAATAAGTCAATAGTTTAAACATATGTATTAACCTGAGATGATGTGGAAGGCTTTGTTAGTAGCTTTCCTTTCCAATTTGCCTGTTGTCTTTTTGGAAAACAAGGAGAGGAAGGTAGGAGGGAAGCATCTTTCTGTGTTTGTATCCTTGTTGGGGATAGTGAGCAGTGAGATACAGGCAAAAACATTTCATTAGAGGATGGGGGAAACATGATTTGTCATATTCTCCCTCTGCTCCCATTTTATTAATACATAAGTAACATATTACAGTGAGTAAGAGAGCCTGGAGATTCTAGGATATCCTCAGGGTCTAGGAATTCATTAAGGCATTCTATTGTTTGTAAACATGAGGATTAATGCAGCAGTAAAGCCTGAGACATCAGTCCTAAGACGTCAGTCCCAAATCCACCACAGTTAGGTATGCGTACCCTGGCAGGTTTTCTCTGGTCATCAAAAGCTTGTCTTTATAAAATATGCCCCAGGTAAAGATGAAAGGATTCTGCTGTTACAGAGGGTGACCTAGTCATAGCATGATGAAGAGAGGGACATAGTTATACGAAAACTAGAAGCCTGTTGCAGGAGGATTCCTGCAAGAATAGGGCTTCCTCAGGCCGATTGCACCACCAAGCCCCGCCGCCCAGGGCTGCAGATGGGATCCCACCCACCCAGGGCTGCACACGGGGGTCCTGGCTGGGGGCAAGGCTTAGGCTGCACATGGGGGCTCGGATGGCGGCTTGCGTTGACCTGCCCTGCCTGAATTATGAAAATTAGCAGCCATCTTTATTGGCCATTAATTTGCATATCACACTGATTAGCCAATGGGAGGCGTAGCGAAGGTATGGTCAATTACCATGTTTGTCTATTATTAGATAGGAAATGTGCATTCTATAGAGGAAAGGTGGCTAAAATAAAAAAAAATATTCCAATCTGTCACCAAAAGAGACTATAAATGCATGGCCCAGCTTTAACATGCTTCTGCATATTCTGAATATCAGGTTAACCAGCTCAAACCAATGTCAAGGCTTTCCCCACTAAGTTAAGAGCAAAAAGCTTTTGGTTTTTTCTGAGCATAAATTGATTTGGCATCCATCTCATAATTTCCCCAACTGAGTCCTGCCGTAAATGAATTAAACCCATTATTGTATTGCTCTAAAATTCATCCATTCAATCATTTATTCAGCAACTATATACAAAGCACATCATTTATGAAATACCTGAATGTCACAATGTTTCAGATCCATAGCTAAATCTATGCCACTACTTTCTTCTTACTGAAAACTTTGTCAAGTGCAATAACTAAGGAAGAAGCATGTCACAGGTAAGGCTGAAACAAAATGTGGTGTGAGAGACATCAAAGGACTCAAGCCAGTGCTATATAACCTGGGAATGGGCAATTAATCCTCTAACAAAGTGATGTCAGAGATACAAGGCTGCATCTTGTATATTGCATGAGTAAGTCAGGTTGAAACTGAAAAATGGTGATGAAAAAGGCCATGTCCATTATTCATTTCCCCCCAGGTTGGGTGCCCATCTGTTGTCTATGGAAGAATTGTTTCCCTGGTGCTTTGTAGGCATGTAGACGTATATCAA